ATAGATAGATAGATAGATAGATAGATAGATAGATAGATAGATAGATATGGATGATAGATAGTACACAGATAATAGATGAGAGATACTAAATACATAGATGAGAGAGATAGATGGTAGATGATAGGTAAATAGATAGTGGACAGATAAGTTGATAGATGAGAGATGCATAGAGATTGTAGATGACAGGTAGGGAGATGATAGATAGTAGACAGAGGGACACCTTTACTTTTGCTGCTGCTTGCATAGCACATCCTTTTCTGTCCCCTCAGCTCTAACTGTACTTATATAAATAGACCAAATGGATTTTTACAAATACAACTAATGATCACGAAAAAGTAGCCCTAAAGCCAGTATTATACGTGACAGGAAAACGAGAACAATTCTGAGTAGAAATAGGGAGAAAGAAAGGTCTACACTCTGGATGCTAATATATTTTCTCTTATAATCACGTAAGAGAAAAGAAAGAAGACATGAGCATAAAAACCAAGAAAGAAAACTAAATCTTTGTACTTGATAAAACTGTGTATCTGGAAAACAAATCTCTAAGTGGATTCACTAAGCATCTAAGCCAATTAATCTCCACAATGTCACAACCTGGAACACACATAAGGAACAACCATAAGATGCTAAATATGGAGAAAAGATTATATTAAAAACAAGACAGATGGAGCACTTACCAATGAACTTATCAAGAGAAATATATATAAATTCACATATTACTAAAGAACAAAAAAAGACGGCCTTTTCATCCATAATCACATTCAGAACACTTCTCATTTGTGGAGGAGTGTTTTTTTTTAATATTCAGTAGATACTAAAATATCAACAATACTTTAGTCATGTCATAAATAAACAAATAAAGATTAATACTTAAAAGTCATTTGTAGTAATATAAAGTACATAATTAAATCTAAATTACAGATACAGCAGTAATCTAGAGCAGCTAAATTTACTCACCGTGTTGAGATCAGGCCAAAAGTGAGACTCAGGTCATATAGGAAAATGATCCAAAACAAAGGCAGTCCAACATGATTTTTAAAATACAGAGAAGAAATGGCACATACCCTCTTAAAAGGATCAGATGTGTACCATACCAGTTTAAGGCACAGCCTAACAATTATCAGCCATCAATAACTACCCTGCCCAACTAAGAACTGAGACGTCAGAAAATGAATTGCTAAAAATACTAACACGTGTTTTCTGTGATACTGTCGAAATTAATGGCAAAAATATATACTATGATGTATTCTTTAGATGAGCTGGATTGAAAATTTAAAAAAAATCTTCCTGATAGAATAAAGCTTTACAGGAATATTTAACAATGTAAGTCATAGCCCATAGCATAGATCATTGTTTAATATATCAGATTAGGAATAGGGGAAATAGCTAAGTACGTGTGTAATAAACATCCTAAGACCCTGATGATACCGATCATTGACGATATGTCAAGTACATATTGAAAATATCCACCTAAATCAATCTATCTCAAGCCTGCATTTTCCTAAGACATTAGAGGTAAATTTAAAGACACAAGTGTTCAAGGCATAATTCATAATAATTATCCTTACATTTGCAACATACCAAATGATTACTGTTTAAGACTGTTGGGATACATGCATTTGATACACATTAAATGTGTATGTATGCCTGTGTACATACGAATGCATCTAAAACTGGGGTCAAAATGTCTGAACACTGGGTGTGGTTTTTTGTTCTTATATTCTTCCTTCACAAGAACCACATTATGTGATTATGTGTGCTGATTCTGTTCTAAATACGAAAAGGCTGTTCCTGAGAAGGCGGCAAACTTTCTGAAGAGGAGCCTCCTAGGGAAAAGACAGCCCGGAGGCGGCTGGCTGAGAACTGCAGGGAAGAAACTTAAGTGCCAGGCCCCGAACCCGCGAACTGCTGTCGGTGGAGTAATAAAACACAGTTTCACTCACTTTAAAATGAAGCGTAGGACTTTCTTTTTTTTGGGCTGCTGTTTTTTGACCTTGGGTTTTCTTGGCAGATGTGATTCCGATGGCTTCTTGGACGGGACGGCGCTGGCGTCGAGCGAGGGGAAGAAGAGCCTGGAGAGGGTGGTGGCGACTCTCCACCCAACGTACTTGGAGAAGACCTCTTCTCCTAGGTTTGGTGTAGGTTTTGTGCTGTACCGAGTGAAAGGGTCAACCTGGTCATTTAATTCGGCCTGTTGGGGGGAGGAAAAAAAAGCAGTTGGAACAGGACAGAATAAAAGGAGATTCGAAGTCATTTCCTGAAACATCAAGCGTGCGCTCACTCTCCTTGACTAGCCGTGCCCACGAGCCAGGGGCTGGGCTCAGAGAGTAAAGGCCACAAGCCCTTGTCACCTGAGCATGACCCGCGGGAGCCGCACGGTGGAGGAGAGCACAGCCTTCTACAAGCTGTTCTCCAGCCTCCACGCGCACATCTGTGCATGCGCGATGCGGACGAACACAAATAAATGTAATTACATTTTTCTCAAAATAACCTTTGCAATAAAGAGCTTTCCCCCAAACTTTTTTTAAAAAAGAAAATCTCAGTAATAAGAACAATTATGTATTTGTTTCCAGTTAGGTGATTTTAAATGTAATGACAAAATTAACATTTTAAACCTAATACATTTGACATAGAAGAGTTCTATAAACACAAGTGCCTGAAGTGCTGTATACTCTAGTACAGGAAACTTCCTTTACTCTGCCTACAGCTTAAAACTCCATTAAAGTGAACAAGCATTTCTATAGAATAGATTTTTAAATCAAAGGAAATGTAGAGACAACAACTTTGCATTTAGCTATGGTTGAAAATGTTTTAGGATTTCTATTGTTTTTTTATTTTTGCTTTAATGGCATGTAAAACATGAAAACTATGCATATTAATCGGATACCATGTTATGTTTCAAAGCATGTAGATTCTAATTAGTGACATATGCCAAAGCCATGACAGAGAGTGCAAAATATTTCAGCAAATTTTACTCAAAATAGGATACTGTTTGAAATCCCAATATATTTTTTATAATATCAAACATGGACTGGATATTTTTGAAATACTCTTTGTCTTGACTTTGCAATAAGAAATGAAGATTTTAAAATCTCACATGCTATATTTTACAAATGGTCATATTATAAGTTGGATGCTGTTTATTTTTGTTTCCATTTTAAATCTTTATTGAACATTATTTGTCTTCACATAGCTCTGTATCATCACTTAGGATTCATTTTAGATGCCTGAAGTGCCTGTTATAAAGTTGATAGGAATGGTTAGAGCTGAACAGATGCTTCAGTCAAGGAAGCACCTCCCTAGCAAGCATAAAAACCTGAGTTCTGATCCCCAGAACACACACCCACACCCACCCACACACACACACACTTCCTATGTAATCAACTGCAGTAAATGCAGAGACTCACAATGTTCACATGTTGAGAACAAACAACAGTTAAGATCTCAGCCCTAAGCAGGGTGTCTGTATCACCCTCTTGAAGGCTCAGGGAACATCGGGAAAGAGAGGGTGGGAAGAATTTAAAAGCTAAAAGGCAGAGAAAGGATCTACAAAATGCTACCCCGTCAGCAGGACACAACCATCACAATAACAATTTCACAGTTCTGTTTGTCTGTCCTGGACTCATGCAAGACTGGGCGTGTCCTCAGTCAGGGGTGGATGGGGACAGGAGGAGACAGAAGAGTGTATGACTGACAATCACCTGAATGGGTTCTGTACATGTGTGAAACGGCCGAAGAAAAATTTACAAAAAATGTTTTTAAAGTTTAAATTTAAAAACTCCCACAAGTCTATTGTTCAGATGAACTATTATGAACACATCGAATTGCTGATCTATACATGAACGTGATAAATACACTTTATGTGTTTTTAAAAGGAACATGAAATTTTGATTGTATAGGAGGAATAACCTCAAAAGATCTATTTACAGCAGGGTGAATACAGTTGATAATTCTGTCATGTTTTCTTGATAAATACTGAGAGGAGCTTTGAAGTGTTCTGCAACCAAAAAATGTTAGCCATGTGGATCATGGTAATTGGCTTAATTTCGTTATTTCATACACAGTATATATAGATTTCCGAGAATTGTACTTAAAAGTATATACAATTTTGCCACTAAAAAATAAAATGTTAGTAAGTGACATCATCAAAGCAGGAAATTTTTTTATTCTGTTTCAGAAAAGAGAACTTTATCAATAGTTCTCATTGGAATATATCCACTTTTAAAGCATTTAAGTTCAATTATGTCTAAGAACTGCAATCAGCGCACAATTATATTCAGACTATGTATAGCCGAACTGAAAATCTGATGCTTACTAACCAGAAATCCCGGACAGAGTGTTCAGTTGGAAACAGGAAGTCAAACTGTTTATGGAGAGTGACAGCCACCATGACAGTCAAGACACTATTTAACTCTTCGGTGGGTAAGGCTCCCTCTGTAAGACGTCATTCACACCTCTGTCTTCAACTTTCCAGCTCTGTCTTCATTCCCATTAGTAAAAGCGCTTTAAAGCATACAGCGGTACACACTAAGACTTTACTGCGAGCGTGGAAATTACTGAGATGGGCTAGAGGCATAAACGAGGGAGCAAGCATGCAGGCCTGCGTGAACAATGGCTTCTCACGACGTCACGTACGGGAGACACACGTTGTGGAAACCTGCATCACCCTGACCCTAGACTTATGATGCGGTTTCCATCACATCTCATCTGAGTGTAGGACTGGCTGTAGATTGAGGTGTCAGATGTCTTATCAAGGTGAAGGCATTCCTTCATCCCTCCTCTGGTAACAGTGCTGGAAGCTTGAGAAACCCCACAACTCATGGACATCTAAGGCCTTCTCACTTCTCAGTCAAACAATCATGTTCCTTGTTTATGAAACCTCCCCACCTAGATAGACTTCCTTCCTTCTTCTCCAGCATCTCGCCTAGTGACCATCCTTGAACCTGTCATCTCCACTGTCTCCCCAGCCTGCCGTATCCAACTCGAGGACCACTACAGTGCTTCTGCGTAGTCTGGCCACCCCACATGCACTTCAGCCACCATCTAAGCTTCTGCCGGAACCCACCCTTCCAGCCCTTCCTGTAAAAGACTCCCTCTGGCCCAGAATTAAGGCCAACAATTGATAAGTGGAACCTCACAGAACTAAAAACCTACTGCACAACGAAAGAACAAACTCGGTGACAGGAACCCCACAAGCTGGAAGAGGACGTTTGCTATAGATGTGAGAGAGGATTGATATCTATAATATATATAGAACTCAAGAAACAAGTATTAAAAAGAGCAAATGACTCCATTTAAATATATATATATATATATATATATATATATATATATACACACACACACACATATGGGCCTGATACCTGAACAGAGTTCTCAAAAGAAGAAAAAAAAAGACTAAGAAATATCTCAAAAAAATGTTCATCATCCCTAGCAATCAGGGAAATGCAAATCAAAACACCTTTGAGATTTCATCTTAAGAAGTCAGAATTGCAAAGACCAAAAAAATCAATGGACAAGAAAAACAGTGGAAAAAGGAACCCTCATTCACTGTTGGTAAGATTGCAAATTGGTACAGCCATGAAGAGAACAAGTGCAAAGAATTCTCAAAATGCTAAAAAATAGGAACCTACTATACACTCCTTGGCATATGTCCACAGGACTCAACATCAAACTCCATAAATCCTTGTTCAGTCATACTCATTGCTGCTCTCTTCACAATAGAGAATATAAGTCATTGAAGACTAGATGAAGAAATGGATACCTTGGTCAAAGAAAAATGTTAAATATATATTTAAAAAATCCTGGCATAAAACATTCAGAAAATCTAAGACACTATGAAAAAAAATCTAAGAATAATAGAAATAGAGGAAGGAAAAAAATAGATCAAAAGCACAGAAAACACTGAACAAAAGTATCTATCTATCAAGATACAAGAAGCATACAGAACACCAGAGAGATGGGACCAGAAAAGAAATTCCCCACAGCACATAATAACTAAAACACTAAACTTACAGAACAAAGAAAGATTACTAAAGCTGCAAAGAGGGAAAAAAAAGCAGCATATAAGACAGACCAATTAGAATAACACCTGACTTCCCAAAGGACCTGTAAAAAACAGAAGAGCCAGGATGAATGCTCTACAAATTTGGAGGCCACAAATGCCAGCCCAACAAAACTTTATATCATTATTATTTATTATTATTATTATTATTATTATTATTATTAATTCACTTTGTATCCCAGTTGTAGCCCACTCCCTCCAGCAAAACTTTCAATCACAATAGATGGAGAAAGAAAGTCATTCCACGATAAAAACAAATTCAAGTGGTAACTACCTACCAATCCAACTCTCAACATCCGTTATCTCAGTTCTGCCAATAAAAAGACACAGACTGACACTGGATACAACAAGAGGTCCATTTTTCTATTGCTTCTGACAAACATACCTTACCATCAAGAATAAACATCACCTCGGGGTAAAGGTTGAAAAAATATTTCAAGCACATGAACCCAAGAAGCAAGCCAGTGCAGCCATTAAGATCTGACAATACAGACTTCAGGCCACAATTAAGCCGAAAAGATAGTAATATTCATCAAAGGAAAAACCCACCAAAAGGCTATTGCAACTCTAAACATTTATGCACCAAACACCAAAGCAACCAAGTTCATAAAAGAAAAACTACTACAGTTTAAATCATATATTGACTCTCACACAATGAGTGATACTAGGTGGCTTCAATACCGTGCTCTCACCAAGTCATCCAGACAAAACTAAGCAGAAATGCTGGAGTTAACAACTTCGTAAATCAAATGGACCTGACAGACAGAACATTTCACCCAAACACAAAAGATGATACTTTCTTCTCAGCATCTCATAGAATTTTCTCCAAAATTGACCACATAGTCAGACACAAAACGAGTCTCAATGGATACAAGAAAATTGAAATAACACCCTGCATCCCATCTGACCAGCACCAATTTAAAACTAGCTATCAACAACAGAAAGCTTTGGTACTGGAATCCTACCCACCTACTCAATGATTCTGAAGTCATGAATCTTTCGGGAGAAGAGTCTTTCGGGACACCTCTTTACTAATTCCTAATGACATTTTAAACATTTGTCCTTATAAACACAGATAAGTATAGTCTTCACCTTTGTCAAGGAAACCTCTTTTTATAAGAGATGGG